AGTAGACCAGAGGCTTTATTATATAGCACTATGCTCTTGGATTTGCATTAAATAAAATTTCAACAACGATAACCAAACAGTGGGATTAGAGTGAATCCGTAGCTGTAGGCTGAGTTGTGAGCCAAGTGAAGAAGCTCTAACTTCTTGTGTTCACTATCAGCAATCTACTATTAACATTAATTTGCAAAAGTTTGTGGGATTTTGGGGGTTTTGTTGTAAAATGTGTTTTTTTCTTATTTAAAAGTAGTGAGAAATTGTGATTTGCTAAATCCTAAAAATATAGAGAATAAAAGAAAAATCATTTTTGATGTGCATTGTTCAAATTTTACACACAATATTTTTTAATCTACAAACTTGGGCTCACATTATACTATACTGTATTTTCCTTTGCAATATATAAGTTGAACAACATCTTGCCATTAAGTATTTTAAAAATAATTTTAGTTTCATATAATACTGTACTTGTAGACATATCCTAAGGTTTTGTTTTCCCTTGAGTATTTAAACCAATTCTGCCTTGTTGGATATTAATATTGTTTACATGCTACTTTCTATTATAAATATGTTGTGAACATGATTTAAACAAAATTTTTGTGCATATTTATGGTTAATTGTTTAAGATACATGTCTTCTGTAACTGGAGCTTTATATAAAACCTTAACCTTTTAACCTTAATAAAGCTTTTGATATGGATTGCAAATCTACCTTCTACCTCCATAACTCTGAAAAGCTGTATCTATTCATATTTATTTAAATACTGTGATGTTTCTCTATTTTAAATTTAATAAAAATTTAAAGCTGGTTATTTATAAACAGGAAATTTAATAAAAATTAAAAAAATTGCAGTTGTCAGATTTCCTATTTATAAATAACCAGCTTTAAATTTTTATTAAATTTTATTTATTTACTTTTTTTTGCAGAGACAGGAGTTTTGCTATGTTGCCCAGACTGGTCTCAAGCAATCTGCCCACCTTGGCCTCCCAAAGTGCTGGGATTACAGGCATGTGCCAGTGTGTCTGGCCATCATCTTTTTTTTAAACTAAAAATATTTCTTTATAATTTTCTTCATTCTTGCATTGCATTCTCTTATCATTTTCTATTCCTTAAGTTTTAAAATGTTCACTGTGGAAAATTTATATTTTTTTCAACTTGACTGTTTTCCCAAAAACTGTTCACAGGATCTTCATGAATGAGAATCATGCTTACTCAAAGATTGTGAACTCACATAAAATAAATAAATATTTTCTGAAAGAAGGAAACATACTTATTAAGCACCCGAGTGTCCAATAGTATGTGGAGGACCCTGGCGGATACCTGAGAAGCACAAGGCATGGCCCTCTGGGGTCTAATGTTCTTAGTTGGGGAAACATTGTCAAGCTTACACAGTCTAAGAATACTGTTTCCTCTACCTTTTTAGACCTATGCCCACCAGAATACTTATACTTACCCTCTTCTCTCACCAGCCAAGAATATTTTGCCTGGCTTTCTCCCCCTGTATTATGAATGATTGAACTGGATCAATAGAACCTACTCCTTCAGATATCTGTGCACATGTAAAGATCTTGCACTGATGCACCTTCTTGCCTTCAGTGGGGAATTACTTCATTAGATAATCATCCAAAGTAGGACTCTCTGAAATTTAAGAACTTAAGATGTGGACAGTTTACCAGTGAAGCCTGGCTTGATAAGGCCTAAGTTAAAAATGCTTCTCTTGGCAATGAGTTTCCTCCAGTACACAAGCCAATCAGTGCTTTGGACTGTGGGTTGGTCTTTGCCTCCTTTTCCTCTTCTCCGGGCTACCCATATACTGCCCCATCTTGCCTCCTCCACTAGGTGCTCATACTAACTTTCCTGCCTCCACCTCTTTTGTTTTGCTCTATTTCTTGTATAATACCCAACCGAGTGTCTGATTGCAAGCATCTTGCTTCAAAGGTTGTTGGGCTCTGCCTTGCACTCTAGCAACTGGCTTTCCTGCTCTGTTCCTCACTCTTTCGGTCCCTACCTTGCTGCTTGTCATCCACTTCTCATCATAAACTTGGTGGCCTAACCCCTTTCTCACTGGAGTTAGGTCCCTTCACTTCTACTGACCCACTTTAGAGCACAAGGCCTGATCAAACACAATGTACATAATAAATATTTGTTGAATGAATGAATGAATTGGAAACATTGTCTTGCTTCAATTTATATATCACAGGCTTAAGTGAGACATATTAACAAAATACTCATATTTTACTTAACTTTCTTCTTCCCCTCCTGCCCTAGATTTCTGTACTAAACACTTGGCATGTGTTAGTTCTAATCTTCACAACAATCTTGGAAGACAGGTCTTGCTGCCTCTCTACATAAGGAAGCTGTGGGTCCAGAGTTTCTCCAAATTCACTCCGTGAATCAGTGGTGGATCTCCCTTCTCAATGGAACCACTCCTAGAGTCACTAAACTCTGGCCTTATTCTTGAGGTTCCTAGATTTTCTTCTGATCTCCCATGACCCTGCTCTTATCCTGATTGACCACCACCATCTTTGTCTGAATCCCTTTGAGACAGAGGGAGCTAGGAGGGAAGGACAAGAGAGAGGTCTTGACAAGGACTCTACATGGGAGATCAAAACCAGGACCTGAGGGAGGTAGAAGGGCCGAAGATACCTTCACATTTTCAACCTGAAGGAGCAGAAGAGTGGTAGTTATCACCAAAAGAAATTGGTAGTTTGAAAGTCTTACTCCTGCATTTTAAAATCAGGTTTGAGTTCCAATGACTTTCTTTCTTTCTTTTTTTCTTTTTGAGACGGAGTCTTGCTCTGTTGCTGAGGCTGTAGTGCAGTGGTGTGATCTTGTCTCTGGGTTCAAGTGATTCTCCTACCTTAGCCTCCTGAGGAGCTGGAATTCAGATGTCTGCCACCATACCGGGCTAATTTTTTTTTGTTTGTTTTTTTTTAGTAGAGACAAGGTTTCACCATGTTGGCCAGGCTACTTGAACTCCATCTATCTCAGCCTCCCAGAGTGCTGGGATTACAGATGTGAGCCACAGTGCTCGGCACTAGTGACTCTTTACTCACTGGTTAACCATGAACAGGTCTCTTAGCTTCTCGTGAGCCCCAGTTTCCTCATCTCTTCCCTGAACATGATCTGACCAGACTCTCATGTTTGTCACTGGTTTGCTGATCAAGTGACACAATACATGTGGCATGCTTTGTAAGGGGTGGAACTGTGTGTATGCTAGCCATCATCAGTATTTTCAGGTATACTATTACTAGAGTCAGATTGTAAATGGAGGCACTGACTTCTTGGTTAAAGTATACTTATGCCAGGGGTCAGCAAACTATAGTCCATGGCCCATATGCGGCCTGCTGCTTGGTTTTATATGGCCCCTGAGCAAAGAATGCTCTTTACATTTTAATAGAGTTGAAAAAATCAAAAGAAAATATTTATAACATTTGAAGATTACATAAAATTCAAATTTTAATATCCATAAATAAAGTTTATTGGAGCATAGCTGAACCTATTTATTTATGTATCATCTATGGCCACTTTTGTGTTACACAAGAGCAGAGTTGAGTAGTTGTGACAGAGACTATACGCTCTGCAAAACCTGAGACATTTACTATCTGACTCTTCATAAGAGAAGTTTCTGACTCTGTTTCCTTCCTTCCTATCTGTTGAAGCTTCTGAAAAGCAGAGAAAATTTCAGGAAATCTTAAAAGTTTTGTGTTTTTTACACTTATTTCTTTGTTTGATAATAAAGGTAAAATGAGAATGTATTTTTCTTGTTTCCTCCTTTCGGATGCTTTTAAAAGTAAATCATCATTCAATGTTGAAATATTATTATGACTTTGAAAGGTAATTAAGGATAAAAAAAACCACCAACAACCTCAAACCAACCTTAACATGGCCATTCTAATGCGTGTTTGAAAAATGAAATTGATGCTTCTTTCTACTCTTGTCTTATTTTTGTATTTCCAAATGGTTGTAACTATGGACTTAAAATTTCATAGTTGATCAGTCTTTCAGTTGGCTTTATAAACATTACTTGGTCATTGCTTTTATTTTTGATAGTGGTTGTATTGCTATAGAGTGGTACACTTCACAACCTATATGTATTTCAGAAATACTTCTTGTTCTTGCCTTTCATTTAATCCTTGCTTCTTTTTTTTCTTTTCATATATATATAAATGTTTATATATGTTATATACATATATATATGTTTCTTTTCATATATATATTATATATATATATATAATATATATATATATATATATATAATTGCACTTTAGGTTCTGGGGTACATGTGCAGAACATGCAGGATTGTTGCATAGGTACACACACGGCAATGTGGTTTGCTGTCTCCATCCCCCTGTCACCTATATCTGGCATTTCTCCCCATGTTATCCCTCCCCAACTCCTTACCCCCTGCTGTCCCTCCCCTAGTCCCCACCAACAGACGCCAGTGTGTGATGCTCCCCTCCCTGTGTCCATTGTGTTCTTAATGTTCAACCGCCTATGAGTGAAAACATGCAGTAAATATAATTGCAAATGCTTCTCTTTGGAGCCAGCTCTGGGTAGCCCAGGCTTGCCTATTTTCCCTTCCTACCGTAATCTCTGCCCTCTGATATTGATTCAAGTGCAGCATTCCCACTGAGCTTACAAACTGAGAAAGATGAGGAGAGAAGCCAAAGAAAAGATGTCAGAGAATAAATGAACTTGATACTTTAAAGAAGATTTTCTCTTTGCTCACACCTCCCCACGAATCATTCAATAATAATAGAAAAACATTTAGCAAACAAAAATATTCTCCACTTATATAATAATGACATGAGGGATTTTTGTGCTCTCTGTTGCATTTCTAGAAAAGTAGAAATAAAAATAAGGCCATTATTGTCATTATGTTATACTGTTAATCCTTTTACTGTATTTAATACAAAAACCCTTAACTTTATCAAATTAACTTAATACCATGAAATATAACTAAAAGATGGCTATTTACATTTTGTTATCTTATTTTTTCCTAGTGAGAAGCTGGATGGAAAAATTAAAAGACAAGGTAAGAAAAATATTTTCTTCCATTGGATTTATTTTTAGGGGCATATAGCTTTGTCAGGCAAAAGATCTCCAGAGTAGTGAAGCTTTAGTTTATTATTCTGATTCTGGTAATCTATCTAAAGATTCAGAGCCACTTGCAGGTACCCTGCAAAAAAGAGGGCCTGCCCTTTAAATCTCTTCCTTTAGAACACAGGAGACACCTTATTCTTTGGTGCACCATTCACTCTTATAAGAATATAAGAATTTATGTTGATTGGTATGCTCAACAGAATATTGTTGACATATCAAGGTGGAGTTTCTTTTTGGGAATTTTAGGATTGTAATCCCATTCCATCTAGCTTTGAGTGTGTGTGTGCCAATATGAGACTCTCTAGATGTGTAGTTTATCACAGTGCTGCCACTTATGAGGTGTTGATGAGCTGACCTGTCTGGAATGGCCAACTATAGAAAAATATTTTCTTTTTTTGCATTAATTCTGCCATCTATATAGTGATTGACAATATTAACTTCCAGGTTGATAGTGTTCATTTTCTTTTGATTTTCAAACCTCCCCAAGTTTTCTCTTTTGGTTACTTTGTAATTTGAAACTGAATTACTCATATAGATATTGATGGAGTCCTGAATTCCTTGTTGTAGCCTGTGTCAGATCCCATTATTAGAGCCCAGCTCAGATTTCACTGGGATTTCAGCTAAATAGAAATCTTTTCAGTGGTCAGGTATTGAGCTACCTCCAATTCACCAGTCTCAATATATTTCTGTTTATGGCATTCCATACCTTTTTTGTTGCCTGCAGTCAATTTCCCCCATATTTGAATTATCGTTTATTTTGCTACAGCTTAATGTTAAAGAATAAAAGAAAACATTCAATTGCAAATAAATTTATATAATTGTATTAATTCTCCTCACTGTGTCTGCTTCTAAGTAAAATTTAGCACATATAGTTTTTGAGAATGAGACTACTTTGTGTTCATATAAATTAAAAGTGACATTGAAAATTTTAAGCCTGTTGAGGTTAATGGAGGCCATTTTGGTATTTGTAATGGGTCCAGTTGTGAAAAAAAGGTGGGCTGTGATCAGATGGACTGAGAAGAACTTGCAGGGAGGAAAAGCTCAAAGGTTTAGAGCTAGATATGTTTACCTTGGTAGCGTTTCATGTTGTTTTTCAGGGGGAAATATGATACAATGAAAATCAGGATTTGTTATGTTAACTTAGGAATTCATATATCATTGTTTCCATAGAAAGTATCCTGAGTTATTTAAGAAAGGGACCAAAAAAAAAAAGACTCAAGAAAATAAATTTTTACAAGTAACCTGTTTTGAAATTTGATATTGCTAAATTTCTTATCTGCATGTATATATAGTGTCACCATTTCCTTAAAAAAAAACTGTGATGTTTTAGAGATAGTCTCCTTTTTTATTAATCTTGGTACCTTTTCCTTGCTCCTTTTTGTTAAAAGAAATAATTTTGTGTGTGACCCCCTAGTTTTCTGGCATATTTTGAAGTCTTTCTGGCTTATTTTGAAGTTTTTCCAGCTTTCTCATCTCTTCCTTCTGTAGTATTTTTATCAGTATATTTTAATTAAAAGAAAATTGGAAGAATATCTTGGACTCCAATAGTGACTGTCATATGTACCTCTGTTTTCCTCTTTTGACTCGTGGAGTGACTCATTTAAGTCTTCCCTATATTCCCTTCCTTCTTCCATGCTTGAACTATTATATGATAATTTGATATGTGTATTTATATGTGTATACACACATATGTACATATATCTTCCCTTATAAGTCTTACAGGTGATCCTGATCCATACTAGAGTTTGAGAAGACATATGTACATAGATCTTATAAGCATATATATATATATATATATATATATATATATATATATGTATCTTCCTCATTCTCTATTTATTTATCCATCCATCCATCCATCCATCCATCTATCCATCCGTCATTTATTAAAGTCTTGTTAGTCATTATCTTCAGAAACTATTTGAGTACAAAACTGCTTTCTCTTGGATGAAATCACAGAATCCCTTAGAACTGAAAACTAAACTACATGCTTAACTGGGCTTTTCAGGCAAGCCAGGGCATTCTGTCAGGTTAGCTTCATTTAATTGTTCCAGTACTGAGTCTCCATTGGTTAGCTGGATTCTAGAAAGGGTAGTATTTTCAAACGTTCTGAATTATTCCTTTTGTTATTGTACTTTAGTCTTTCTATATTAAGACTAAGATCAGCTGTGAATGGCAGATAACCTGTGCCTTCCCCAACCCCAAATGACAATGGTTTAGCCAAGGTAGAAGTTTGTTACCTCTCTCCCTCTCTCTCTCTCTCTTTTCCTTTTGAGACAAAGTCTGGCTCTGTCACCCAGGCTGGAGTGCAGTGGCATGATCTTGGCTCACTACAATCTCTGCCTCCCAGGTTCAAGCGATTCTCTTATATCAGCCAAGTAGCTGGGAGTTACAGACATGCACCACTATTCCCAGCTAATTTTTGTATTTTTAGTAGAGAGGAGGTTTTGCCACATTGGCCAGGTTGTTCTCGAACTCCTGGCCTTATCTAACCCACTTGCCTTGGCCTCCCAAAGTGCTGGGATTACAGGCATGAGCCACTGTGCCTGGTCCCTGTGGTCTCTTGTTTTTAAGTCTGGAGAGTCACAGGTTAGTGGGGAGAGACACAATGACAGGGCCCAAGCTTCTTTTATTTGATGCTCCTCCATTTGTGACCCACATTCCCAAGGTCACCTCATGATCCTGGTTGGAACTGCTAACTTAGCTATGTGCATATTCTAGCCAGAGGAAGGAGGAACAAGGGGGAGGCTAATGACACCTCTTTGTTTTTAAAAGGGAAGATAAAAGCACTCCGTCATTCTTACAGGGGAAGTGTAAAAGCTCTCCTCCCCTTTTATAGAACATATCTTGAAATTTTCATAATGCTGCTGACATATCTTCTTGGGGAAACTTACCACATGATCAGACCCTGCTTTTCAGTAGGTGAGTAGAAGTCATCTTTATTTTGTGCCCAGTCCCAAATTGGAAGCTCTTTTGCTGTAGAAGAAGAAAAGAATGGATATTGAAGGATAGTTCCTATATTAATTCCATCACTATCTTCTTGGCTAAGTGTCCAAGGTGGTGATACTTGTTAGATAAATTCTAACTTGGCTACCTATTAATATATCTTTTCAACATCTAAATTGCTTCTCAAAACTGAAGATGCATAACAATTTTAATTGTGCAGTAAAGACCGGGCCTGTTGTTATATCAATAAAATTGATCTATTTCTTCTAGCTTTAGGAAACTATCTAGAAAATGAATGGCCCAGACTACACTTCATAGCAGCAATTATCAATATTGAGTCTGGACCAGCAGCATCAGCATCATCTGAAACTTGTTGGATGTGCAAATTCTCAGACTCCACCATAGACCTACCACCCAGGAACTCTGGGAAGGGGGCCCAACAATCTGCATTGTAGCACGTCTTACAGGTGATCCTGATGCATGCTGGAATTTGAGAACAACCATTGCATAGAAATCATAAGGATGCTGTCTCAATTCTGCAGACTCTAGGCAGTACAGTGGTTTTCTTATGACTTTCTTGATGACAGATGTTCTGAACAAATACCTTATCCTAAGAAGGAAGAATACCTTTCTTATTGACTTCAAACAAACAAAGAACATTCCTACAACTTTACCTGGATTCATCTATTGTTCATGTTTTTACTCCATGTGCTTTATCATTTGCTGTAACATTGTCCTCTTTTTTTCCTGAACCATTTGAGGGTAAGTTGCATGTATTGTGGCCTGTTTATCCATATATACTTCAGTGTATATTTCCTAAGAGTGGGAATATATTTTAAGAAGATCTTCATGCAGTTATTAGCTTGAGTATATTTAATATCGATATAATGCTTTTATGGCATCTGGCATTCATATTTCAGTGTTTTTTTTCAACAAAGACAAAATATCCTTTATAAGAGTATTTTTTCTCCTCTCTTACAGAATCTACTCTAGGATTATGTAACACATTTAATTGTCATGTTTCTATAATTTCCTTTAATCTGGAACATTTCTATAGTCCTCTTTTATCTCTTTTATCTTTTTTTTATCTCTTTTATCTTTTTTTGGGGGGGGACACAGTTTTGCTCTTTGTTGCCCAGGCTGGAGTGCAATGTTGCCATCTCAGCTCACTGCAACCTCCGCCTCCCAGGTTCAAGCAATTCTCCTGCCTCAGCTTCCCAAATAGCTGGGACCATAGGTGTGCACCACCTTGCCCAGCTAAATTTTGTATTTTTAGTAGAGACCTGGTTTCACCATGTTGGCCAGGATGGTCTTGATCTCCTGACCTCATGATCTGCCTGCCTTGGCCTCCCAAAATTCTGGGATTACAGGTGTGAGCCACCACGCCTGGCCGTCGACATTAACGTTTTTACAGAATATAGTCTTTTTTAAAAAAAGAATATATATTAAGTTTGTGGGATGTTTTCTTATGATTAGATTCAGATTATGCATTCCTAGTTGGAATAATACATTGGTGCAATTGTGTCTTTCTCAGGGTGTCATGTCTTAGGGCATGTGTACGTGCAATAATTTGGAACAGAGAAAAAGTACTAGGCAGAATTTATAACTTAAAAATGTGTGCATGTTGTCTTATTTATTTTCATTGCTGAAGAAACCAAGTCATGAACAATTCTAAAAGAAGAGTTTATTTTCCCTTAGTCGGTTTTGAAAGAATAGTTAAATTATATCTTAAGATGGTAGGTTGCTTTCCTCCCATCTTGTAATTTACTTGTAATTTCAAAGCAAGGCAGATGCCACAAAAAAAAGATTAAGAGAAATAGAGGAGACAAAAAAGAGAGATGTAACAGAATTTTTGAGAAATCTCCATAAAGCTCTAGCTAAGTTTAACCATTCTACAATGGAAGTATACTTTAAATCATCACGTTGTACATGATGAGTATACATAGTTTTATATGTCAATTTACAAATATATATGTAAATTTGAAAAAATAATGCTTCAGAAATAAAAGGCTTAAGTGTGTCAATAAGAAATGTGGAAATGGTGACATATTTGAGAATACTGATGTTGTTGGTGTGGGATTAAGTTACAGAGTATGAGGAGACCCGCACAGGGGCTGATCAAGTTGACTTTCCAAAAGTTCAAATGTTACTGTACTTGAAAAGTCTAATCATCTGGGCTTAAAGTTCATCATATTTCAACATGTATGTGTTTCTGCACTCTGGGAATGGTAATTAAAAAATTCACAGTTCCTGTGTGAGTACCAACACTTTGCTGTTGTTCAATATTTTCCCACATGGAAAAATACAGCATTTTTATAAGCCTTAAGTAGATTTAGAAGAACTTTGGAAAAAGTTTGGGCTTCTACAAAGCATATTAATTTATTGAAAAATGACTGGGCTTTGTTTCTTGGGGAAAAATACTTAGTATGCTGAGGAAAAGTGCTATTGTTCTTAAATTAATGGAAAAATTTCCATATTTTGCCCTAAGTTAAGACTCTGGGAGGCAGAACCAGTGAGGGAGCCGGCTGAGCACAGAGGAAGGTGCTGCTGTTTCATAGGGTCTGATGGATTCCTTGGATATCTACCGAGAGCCAGCGTGGCCTGGAGACCCCACCCAGGCGGCACTGAAGGAAATGAGAGGCAGACATCCAGTTAGAACAGCAAAGTGGGTCTATCAGGGGGTCCAGCAGCCTACCAAGCTGAGAGCTTCAGGGGCTGACAGCATTCCAGGCTGAAGGCCCCAAGCAGATTCTGATCCATGTATTTATTCTCTCTGAATAGGTGCTTATTATTAACAAACAGGTGTTCTGCATTTTCTCAAAAATATACCAAGTAGGCAGCTGTTACCTGCTTACCACTGATTACAAACTAAAAGGTATTCTCCAAGAGGGAGCCACAGGGGCAGGATAAACTTAATATTTCTTAACAGATGTCCTGATAGAAATGTTGGGAAAACATCACAGCCTGCATACTTCAGCACTTTCAGGAAAACTTTTATCATCTGTCCTGCTCTGCTTTTGGCTCATTTTGAAAAATACTAAAAACAGTTTGTGCTGCATTATAAATTTAAAAAATAGTCATGTAAATGAATAGACTTATAAAAATTTTTAATTGTCTATGCATTTTATATGGGTAGGCTTCTAGCAGGGGCTTCTTGGGAGGCAAACCAATATCTGTGTTCCCCCATGAAAGGTCTGTAGATTGGTACATACCCTGCTAGCCCATAGAAGTCTTATTGACCAAGGTGGAGGGATCACTCTGAGTACAATGACCTTGCCCTGAACTTAGGTAGGTCCTGAACTACTTACGCAAGTAAGTCTTTCTTTTCTTACTGTAATGCAGCTAAGACAGACAGAAAGAAGGAGAAGAGAAGACCACCACTGTCATGGCCCTCCTTTTACCCCCCAAAAAACATAGTATTCCAGAGGAGACTCTGACCTCCTTCAAGCTTGACTCTGGCTGATATTTCCAATTTATAGCATTTTAATAGTCCTGGCATTCTCAGATGCTTACTTCATCTGTCTTTAATACAAATTGTATTTCTGTCATCAGAACCTGATGTTGACTAATGTGCATAAGCTAGTGGCTGGAGGTGCCACTAGGTCTAGCTGATTTATTTCAATACTTCTATGTATTTGAAATATCCCCCAAATAGGCCTCCCTTTCTCTCTGTTGTCTTCTCCCTAAAAAATTACTGTATTTTAGGTTTGGTTTTATTTTATAACAAAGCAGACAGAAGAATTCAACATGTCTTGAAAACCTGCTGCCATCCAGCAGAAACGAGAAACTCAGGGCAGTGTTCTGTTTAGCATCCTAATGTGTGTTTCCTTTTCTATGCAGGCTGGTTACATGTCTGGGATGCTGGTGCCTGTAGGGGTTGGGATAGCTGGAGCCTTGTTCATCTTGGGAGCCCTCTACAGCATTAAGGTTATGAATCGCCGAAGGAGAAATGGCTTCAAAAGGCATAAAAGAAAGGTATGGAACCAACAGTAGCAAAACCAAATCAGTTTCAGAACATTCTTTGCTTATCTAATTTACTTAATAAAGCACATGGGGTTTAATGATGCTTGAGCCGTGTTGATGTGCCTGGTGGTCTGGATTAGCTGCTGTAGCATCCTGACTTGGCTTCGTTTGTTAGCATGTCTTTTAAAGTGGGCCTGTTTCTCAGCTTTGCTCTGTGGCATAAAAAGTTTAATGCTTTTCTGTTTTCTTTCTCTAGCAGAGAGAATTCAACAGCATGCAAGATCGAGTAATGCTCTTAGCTGACAGCTCTGAAGATGAATTTTGAATTGGACTGGGTTAATTGGGGTATTCAACAAAGCTACTATTCTAGTTTTTATTTGGAGCAGAAAGAAAAGAACAACTTGCCACATTGCTGCTATCAGGCCGTTAGTCCTAGTGTCTGCTGGGTGCTGGGTAGTAGATTTTTCTTGTACTGAGCAGAAATGGCATGTTGTATACTAAACATATCATGCAGTATTTGGTTTTATTCTGTAGTGAATTTTCCACAACTGTGGGCTACAACTCATAAATATGCAGCATATATGTTTTTTAGTAGGAGTTGCTATATTAGGCTGAGTAAATATTTTGTATTTTTTCATAGTGTCTTTTTTTGGGGTTTAAATTACCTGCATTGAGAATAATAATTGGTTGCCACCAAGGCATGCTTGACTTTGAGATATAAATCTTAACAAAGAATAACTTCTCATGATTATACTCTACCTACTTGAATCAAACTGCATTTGTATCAAACTGGCAGCAACTCAGAATAAGTTTTCATTAAGAAGATATCTCAGCATATTAGGATTTTATGTAGATTTGTATGTATTTTGCGTTATGTACTTCAGCCTCCTAGTTTTGTTTTTTCTCACCTTCTGTTTTATTCTCATTCTTGATGAGGAAAAAAATGCACCAGAAATAATACATTAAATTGACTCTTAGTCTTAATGTATGCTTAAATTGTGTGATTGAGTCCAACAGAGTCATACCTGTTTATGATTAAGAGATACTCTTTTTGTGTACTATTTGACTTTGCCAAGAAGAAAGGAGGAAGAAATCAAGGATGAGATGACAGTAGGTAAGTTTTCAGAGCATTTCTGTCTGCCATTTGGTCCGATGCTGGTGTGGCTACTACTATGAGTAATTCAGAGTGTTGTATTTCCACATCTGTGGTCTTCACCATGGAAAAGGTGGGCTACCATTGGTCCTTATTTGGCTTTATTAGAAAAACAGACATTCTATGGTTTGTCTGCCCAGTGGCCAGAGTCCTGGTGCACAACAGAGCTCATGGGAAACCAGCCTCTCTCAGGGCATCCTGCTATAAGGATGTTGGACTATGTTTGATCATTTCTCCTTTCCTTGAATGTAATTCCCTGACCTATACAAAATAGGATATTCCAATGTGCTATTTGAATCTGGGAATTGAGGACTTGTAGTTAGTTGAGTTTTGGGGTAAAGACTTGGCTCATTGCCATGGAAGAATAAAGGTTGTTTATTAATAGTGCTGTCACTGCGGAGAACTTGTTGGTGTTTATTGGAGCTTGTCTACTATGTTTGAGAAAGCTTCACAGTTATTCCTCATAGCTACTACGTGAGGTAGGACATGGGTTTCTATTCTCCCATTTGACTGAAGATGGAACTGAAGCAGAGAAGTGAAACGATTTTCCAAAGTTGTACCCAGAGAGAATCAGCATGAGAACCCACTTGGACCCAAAGCCATGCATCTTTAAGTTCAGCACCCTTTCCATAGACTTTGGAGGAAGCAGTGACATTTCAGAGTCCTTCTTTAAAACAAAGGTTCTAAGGAAATAGGTGCTTGGTCAAGGAATGTTTGATGTGAATTTCTATCTTTGTTAAATGGATGACTCCTTTCTAATCTCTTACTCACACAAGTTCTTTCCTTCCGTCTCAGTTATTTCCTTTACAGTCAGAAATTTAAATATCACCTCTATGAAACTAATAGAGAATCCTTCCTAGAATCCATTTTTGAATAATGGCCAGCTCGCAAGAATGTTTTCATCAAATAATTTTAACTCCTTTTGCCAAGAGATGTTAGCAAATGTGTGAAATTGATCAAGAGAAGTGAAAAGCTCTGTACAGTCAAAAAGAAGTTAGAGCTTGGCAAATTAGCTCAAGGTCAGATTTTAAAAATAGAATTCAGAGCCATGATGCTCAGAAGTGATTTGTAATTTCGCGAGTAGAGACATCCTGATATTGCATAAGGGATGTTTTCCTTTTCCAAGAGCAGCCCTTTGCTATAAGTGTTTCTAAGGTTTGGAGTAAGTGAGCATGGTGTGGCATTACTGTCTTTGTATTCTTGACAAATAGTTTGTTGAGAATACACAATAGGCCACTTAACAGAGTAGCACATGAGTGACACTAACATCATTATTGACTTGGACTACTCTATCTATAGTCTTAATTGAACCATGGCTAATAGGTTGAATCTTCAAACTGCAGTATAATACATTCCCAAATAGCAGACACATATTTTCATTTCTCAGAGATCTGTAAGGATGACATGTATGTGAATTTTGGCTTAACACAGTGTCTCTCTCATCCTTTTTGGGACACATGATTTCTTAAAGGAAAAGAACCTACTTAGGTAAGAGTGCATTTCTGTACAAACCCATTTAAACATCTGGATGGAGTGGAAGGTCAGTGGATGGTACAAATGACATGTTTATTGTGGTCATTTTCCTTGGTGCTGGTGGTTGTGGAATAATGATTTTCAGTGGTTGGCTTGGATTATTAAGAGGATCAGAAAAGGTTGTCATATTTTAAACAAAACCTGGGATTAGAGGTGCTGCTGCCAGAGGGAAGTGCTGGCCAGTGGTTATATGGCAGTCCAGATGAAAAGCAGTAAATCAGGCACTTGTGAGTTTACCCAAAATAAGTGATAAGTATGCTTATATTTGCACATTAAAATAAAAGTAAAGTTTTTATTCTAACAACTAGGCTTAAAACATTTAACAGAGAAACAAAGCTGTCTGGAAAGGAGAGCTGATTCCTGCAGCTTCCGCTGTGAACACCATCCCAACTGGATTGAGTTTGCCCAGCCAGAACTGCTGCATCCCACTGCAGCGGCAGTGACCAGGTCTCATTCTCGGAGGGAGAGGCAATGTTTTCAAAACTTGCAGACTCATAAGAATCACCTGGGACACTTGCGAAACATACAGATTTCAAGGCTTTGCCCCAGACCTGATGAGTTAGACTCTCCAGGGAAGGAGCTTGGGCTATTCATGCCCCAGCAAGCTTGAGAACACAGCTAGGAAGGATCTGCTTAGAGAACCCCTTCCTTATTATAGAGACAAGGTCATTTAAAAATCACAATGAGATACTACCTCACAACTACTGGGATGGCTAATATCCAATAAAACAAGATATAACAATTGTTTCTGAGGATGTGGAGACATTAGAACCCTTATATACTCTTGGTGGGAATGTAAAATGGATAGCCACTATGGCAAACAGTATGAAGATTCCTAAAAAATTTAAAATAGAACTACCATATAATCCAACTATCCCACTTCTGGGCATATATCCAAAAGAACGGAAATCAGGATCTCAAAAATATCTGTACTCCTGTGTTCATTGCAGTATTATTGGCACTAGCCTAAATATCTATCAGTAGATGAATGGAGAAGAAAAATGTGGCATATACATACAGTGGAATATTATTCAGCTGCAGGAAATAAGGAAATCCTGTCATTGTGACAGTATGGACGCACATGGAGAACGTTGTGCTAAGTGAAATAAACCAGTGACAAAAGGACAAATGTTGCAGATTGCACTTCTATGAGGTATCCAAAATAGTCACACTCATAGGGGTGGAGGCGAAATGGTGATTGCCAGGAGCTGGGCAAAGTTAAAGATGGGGAGATGTTGATTAATTATGTCTCAGTTACATAAGATGAATACGTTCTAGAGCTCTGCTGTATAACCTACGTGCCTATAGTTAACAATGTTGTACTGTACAGTTAAAAATTTAAGAGCGTAAATCTCACATGAAATGTTCTTAACACACACACACACACACACACACACAAGACAAGGACAGCAGTCCTCCGTGGGAAGAGATGCTTTTTTACCTGGTCATGCTAGCCAATAAATCACATCTGCCATGGAGAAAGGGGAAAGGAAAACAAAAGGAGAGAGAAAAGGATGGAAGCTACTAGAAAAAGAATAGTGGGCTGAGATGTAGAGAAAAGGGTTTCTCCCATACCCCTGATGTCTTTTTCCCTAATTAGAAAGACAGTAGTTTTCTTTCCAACCTCTTTAGTTTTTTCTTTTCCATAAGCTGTTTCTTTCAGTAGCTGCTAGCTTAATTTATATGCAATATTTGGAGTTAATTAGTATCCCAGGGTAACAGATTTCCTTAGCAATGCCTTAGCCTTGGCTTCAGCTGATAAACTGCCTCAAATACAGTTTTCAAGAAACATTTTCTTAAAGTACCTGTATCTCTTAATGTAGGTCAAAACTGTGTGAAGAAATTTTAGAGCCAAGTTTTAGAGTATATTTAATTTTTGAAGAATCAATTAAAAATGGTCTTTCATTTTACGATTTTTTCCCCAAAGGCTCTTAAGAGCCAAAACATATATAGATATCAGAAAATTATATAGCATGCATGGAGTATTCTGAATACCTCATGGTTCCATCTGTGTCTGCCTCCAGGTGTCTTCTTCCTGCAGGAGCCAGAATGAAACACCTTATTTCCAATCACAGCCTCAACTTGGGGGAGAAGAATCAAATCCTCTGCAGGCATTGTGATTTCTGTGGATATGCATAATCCATGTTCCTACCAGCTGCCAAAGAACAGCTTTTGGAAACAAGATGTGCTATTTGGCGCAAGGTTATAGCTACGTGATATTTTGGCAAGACAGACTTTGCTATGACCCCAGAGGAATCTGAAGAGGCTGGAACACAACTGAAAACAAATCTCTTCCCTTTAGGGTATGTGAAGATATGGTTACAAGGGAAGAAGTATGGTAGAAGAAGATGGAGGAAAATCATAAGACAAGGTAGATATAAAAATGGCACAAAACATTAGGAGGTGCTGGAGGATACCAAAGTTCTGAATGGACCAATGATTGAAAAAAGGTTAGAGAAAGGCAAGGAGAAGAATACAGATGAGGAAGATCATTAACAGGAGAAGGGATCAAAAAACTTCACAAATCCATGTTGCCTCCATCTTCTCCATCAAATAAAATTATTCCATGCTAGTTAGAATAAACATTGCTGGGGTGGAGGAACTGAAGTCCAAGATGGATGAGGAGGTAAAAGGTGCTTGATTACTTTAAATGAGCTTAAGCTAAGTTAGACATCTTCTTTAATTACACAGCCTTCAAATTACTGAATATATACTTCAGGAATAGGAAATAATTTGAAAACAGAATAGTGGTACTGACTTAATAAAAGTCCCATATGTGCACATTTAGCACTACTAGACTGATAAGCTGAAGATGGACTGAAGAGAGATGTTGCTCTGATAATTATAGACTGGCAGTCAACGTAGCTGGAAACAAAATCCTGTTGCTTAATTTCTGTATGCAGGAAAAAACCCAGCATTTATTTTGTAAGCTACTATAATATAAATGCATTGGGAGTGTCCTATTTGGAGCAATAGGTATATCAGACTCCCTATTAATTAACCCAAATTTTTATCACGTGCATATAGGTTAAAGAGAGAGAGGAAGGAAGGAAAGAAGGAAAGAAGGGAGGTAGGAAGGAAGGAATTCCCTTGGTAAGTAGCAGCGAAAGCACAAAGAAATCATTTGCTCCCATGTTCTAGTGTGTATAAAAGCACAAAAAATATTGATGTAAAAAACTGAGTCCATCTAGTAAAGCAAAGATTGTACTTTCTCTTCTCAAAAAGATCAGGAGAAGTAATGTAAGTGATAACCATCAATAATTCTTAATATAGAGTATAAATTCTTAAGACAGATGTTGCTGAGAGGTGTAACCTTTTGTGGGTTTAAGGATGGAGGAACTGAGGAGTAGAAACAGAAGAACCCTCTGTGGTGGGAAAATCCTGTTATCTTAATTCTCAAAACTTATAGGTCTAGGAACAGAGTGCAAGCGAAATGGCAGGCAAAATGCACACCCACTTGGATTATTTTATTACCTTTAAGGGGGTAGATCATCTGCTCTAGTCTCAAAAGAAGAAAGCTGGTATCAGTTCAGGAAACAGGTTTTTATTAACCAGTGTCATGTCCATCTCAATATTCTCTTCCTAATTAGCAGTGAAATGAAGGGACCAAAAGCATTTGAAACATTTCTCCAATTTTATGTCTCGTGACATGGCCACAGCATTTGTGTAGCTCAGACTTCTTCATGACCTGCTAGGTATTTTAGGGAAGTGAGGGTTGGGGTTGAGGGTAGTATGCCATGTGAAATATGGGGCTGAATGTGAAGGATCCTCTAGGTCCTGTCAAGGAATGAGGATTTTATTTGAAGGCAATTAGAAGTCATGCAAAAATATCCTGTGAAGTGATATGATCAGGCCTGAGTTAATAGGAAGACTGGTTTTGGAAGCTTAAAGTCTGGAGTCAGAGACACCAGCGAAGAACAAGGTTGATGCAGCAATGTAAGTGAGAGATAATCATTGCCTGGACCAAGGTTACAGGAATGAACACGGAAGGAGAGAATGGGTTCTGGAGGTGGTCAGGAGGGGTAGACAGTGGGACTGGCATATTGCTTAGCTGGAGAGATGAGAGAAGAGACAGTAGTTAAAGCTGACTAGGGTCATGGGACTTTTGAGGCTTCTGGATACGATGGAGTCTAGTATCCTGCCTTCTGGAGGGGCTGACCCTGCATTATCTCAGCATATACAGACCTGAGGAAGATAACCTACAAGCCTGACAAAAATGTATAGACAGCATTACTTTTTACAACGTGTAAATGTGTGGTCATTTTCTGTGACTTTGTTTGTTTGCTTTTATAGAGACAGGGTCTTGCTCTGTGGCTCAGGCTGCAGTGGAATGGTGCAATCATAGTGCCCTGCAGCCTCAAACTCCTGGGCTTAAGCAATCTTTCCCCCTCAGCTTCCTGAGTAGCTAGGACTACAGGTGTGTGCCACCACTCCCAGCTATTTTTATTTTTATTTTTTATAGAGACAGAGTCTCACGAAGTTGCCCAGGCTGGTCTCAAACTCCTGGGCTCAAGCTATCCTGCCTCAGCCTCCTGAGTTGTTGGAATTATAGGCATGAGCCACTGTACCTCACCATTTTCTGTGATTTTTAATAGGAGGTGTCAATGAACTAACTTTGAATTTAATAAACATCTGTGAAAATTCTCCTAATACCTTTAGGGGATTACTTTTGTTGAGCCCTAGATATGAGTTACTAGCTCAGATCTGTTTGACTGTCTTGATTTGTAAAGGCTAATAGGAGAGTTTCTTATTTTTTGACATGGGAACAAAGCTCAGTATCTTGTTTTTCTTGAGAACAAATCCAAGAAACTTCTTTCTCAAGGCTGGTCTGTATGAGGATGACATCTGGTCTTGGATATGCAGCCTGCAGAATCGAGCAATGCAGCTCCATGTCCTCGTGCTGAGCGGTTTCTGTGGCTTTTTGACAGTTGTCATGGACAATCATCAAACCACTTACCTTCCTTAGCATACGAAAAATTAAGCAAATTTCCCATAGTTGCCATATCAACACAAGGCCAGATTCTGGAGGGCCTCAAGGGCAATCATACGCAGAATTGAGAAAATACAGAAAAACCTAAGAATAATTATCATTCCAGTCCCACCCAAAATGTTACCAATGATAAACATTGGTAACATTTTGGTCTGTACTTTTCTAATCTCTTTTTTCTGTGCATTTATGATATGTAATAAATACATTTGTTTTTACACAAAATCAGGATTACAATTTACATATTATTTTGTTACCTCTCTGTAGCTGCGTTTTACCATGGTTGTTTTAAAAGGAATAGAAGAAAGGAAAACAGCCTGTGAAAATCCTGAGTTGTATTTGAATGAGCAAGCTGTGTTTCCTCATTTATTTCACATTTGATGGTCCGTAACTGCCCAGTTACCTCAGGATGCCTACATATGATGAAAATGAAAACAGAGTTGAAAGAAGTCTCCATAAACACAGCACACATTGTAACAACTAAGTTAACACTGGCTAACGTCATATTCTTGTTCCTTGAGGGATTAGAGAACACTTTCATCTCTTTGCCTTTGTCCCCAAAGTAAAAACTGTAAGCTTTTATAATTAAATAAGATTGAATAACTGTAAGAGTAAAGAATATGTAGCATTATGAGAAACACTGGGAAAAAGAACACTTACTGTGTGACCTAAATTGATTAAAGGGTCATTCAGTTCAACTATCTTGAATCTAATTAGTATTTTTGTGTCATTTATTATTATAGGGCACATGTATTTTCTACATTTGATTTCACTTGACTGAAGCTAAAGGAGCAATGTTTATTGCTATGTCCGTTATTCTCTTTTTGCTGTCATTTCCTGCTTCGTCTCTGTCTTCTCCACTAGGCCTTCTTCATCCACCCTCTCCCCATCCCTTTCAGCTCTGAAGGATCTATAAATGAAAATGGGTACAAGCTGATTCACTAGGACTTATATTTACTAAATAGTGTTTTATTGTCTTTGCTCTATGTATTTTCAGAGAAACTATGTCTTTAAAAACAATTAACGAAGCCCTGTGGTTCTTTCAATGAAGACCTTTGAAAACATCTCTACTAGCCCATACTCCCCCAAATTTCTTGCACATAGTAGAAGATGACATTAAATAAACACATTATAAGGTACAATGAGATTTATTCTAAAAATATTGTCTGGTTGTGAAAGTAAATTATTGTTCATAAAGTGTTATTAGATTAAAATTATGGAGTAAGCATTTGGCAAACTGAATCTTCACTGGAAAGACCATTCTTTTTAGGACACATTTCTGTTCATGCTTAAGGTCAGAAGTCAATCGAAGGCATCCAGAAAAAAAAAGGCAAATAAATGAATTAGGGACACAATTATTTTCTGTCATAAATAATAAGGATCTTTAAAAGTTTAATTATGGGGAATTATTGAATAGGCTAGTTTTAAGCCATGCAAATAAAAATGTGAATTTCAAAAATCTTAGTGAAATGCAAATTTATTTTTACTTAGTGACAATAAAAAAATCACAAATACTTCTTGAGCGCTTGCTGTAGGCCAAGTGCTGTGCTCAGTACTTAATATGGATAAACTCACTTGATTGAGTATCAAAATCCAAAGAGGTAGGCACTCCAGGTTACCCTTGACTCTACTGATGGCAGAAACCTCTCTTGTTATCTTTGACAAGAGACACCTAAAACATGATCTGTAATAAATAATTTGTTGACAGATTTTTCATGTCAAAGGAACTATATAGCATTGGTTTTTAGCTATGATTTGGATTCAAGTTTTAAAGTATGTAATTTTTATTATATCAGCCCACACTGAACATTGGTTTTTCAGCAGATAATACATCTTCCAAGTGCTCCAAGGTGAAGAGCCACAGAGAAGAATACTGCATCTTGAGTCATACCCTGAAATTACTGAATGAATTACCTGTGGCCACGTAAACACTCTGCTTCAATAGGTAGAGTGTATCAGACAATCTAATTATTCAGAACTAAGTTTTTAGTTAGCCTTTGTTATTTTCTGAAGTAGTTTGCAATTCTCTAGGTATCCACTGGGGATTGGTTCCAAAACTCCCCTCTGATAACAAAATTCATGGATGCTCAAGCGCCTTACATAAAGTAGTGTAGTATTTGCAAATAACCTATGCACATCCTCCAGTATACTTTATATCTTCTCTAAACATGATACCTAATATGTAAATGCTATGTAATTAGTTGTTATACTGTACTGTTTAGTGAAAAATGTCAAGAAAAAAAGTCTGTACATGGTCAGTACAGACACAACTCTGTACTGATTTTTTTTTTCTGAATATTTTCCATCCAGGGTTGGTTGAATCCACAGATGTGTAACTTACAAATATGAAGGGCTGACTGTACATAGTAGTTCATTCAGATTTATCACAGTGATCTAAAGTAATTTTGCAGTTTACAAGCATTTTTTTGGTTCTGAAAGAAAAACCGAAAAGAATATTGGTGATGTGATATTTATGTAATGTCATGGTGTCATAATGGTCATGTTTTAAAAGTTGAGAATGTTCTACATTCATACACTGTTGGTTTCTAGATCCACAAGACTTCTGTATACAGTTCATGGTCCTCGGCATTGCTTCTTGTAATTTTTCCATCCCAAAGGAGAACTGCTGTTCAGACTGTACTTGTGGAATGCAGTGCTTCATTAAATTAAGTATATTAAAATATAATGTGTGGCACAGGACCTGTTCCTTGTTTAAAGGTTTAGTAGAAGGTGATTTCTTTGGGTGCACTCTTCATTTATCTCAATGAACACAAAATGCATTGTATTGAGAGACATTTTTGCAGAGGGCAGTAGAAAATAAGAAAATTAAATGAAGAAAACAATTATAATAAACCAATTTTATTGGGGATTGTTCTTGCACTTCTCAAAGTGTGTGTGTGTGTGTGTGTGTGTTGGAGGGTGAGTAGAAGGTATGGGGATGGGTGTCTGTGTATGAGACAGAGAGAGAGAGAGACAGGGAGAGAGAGAGAGAGAGAGAGACAGGGAGAGAGAGAGAGAGAGAGAGAGAGAGAGAGAAATAGCACACCAAGTGAATATATCCTTATGGTCTAAACTGGGATACAATTGCGAGTGAAAGGGGCACAGCTGGGTGCGGTGGGTCACATGAATCACTTGAGTCCAGGAGTTTGAGTCCAGCCTGGGTAGTGTAGGGAGACCCCATTTTTTACCAAAAATTAAAAAATTAGCCAGATGTGGTGATGTGCCTCTGTGGGCACAGGTACTTGGGAGGTTAAAGTAGGATGATCACTTGAGCCTGGGAGGTTGAGGCTGCAGTGAGCCATGATCATGCCATGCACTCCAGCCTGGGTAATGGAATGAGACGCTATCTCAAAAACAAGGTGGGGACACTATTAACCATTACAATGGGACAACAGGCATACATTGGAATAATCCTGGGCAAAATGGAATCTAAGGGACAACTTGGAGTATAACAGACACTCCAAATCTTGTCTTTTATTCCAGTCACCTAAGTAGCATTCAGTTTGGCACAGGCTTCCACCCGTTTGCCAGGGTGTGGGTTACTGTGGGGTTTCACTTGTCACTCACACATGTGCAACCTGGAAAGGTAGGGGGACTAACCTGGTGGGCCTTAACCAATGAGGATGGAAACTGCTGGATAAATCCTCCCACCATTTGTTGCTCATGTGGCTGGTTCTCAGATATACTTCATGAGGCTCCTCAGAATATTCCTTAGGAATGAGCACTGGTTGTCCACTGCAATGCTACCTTGAGAATTCATCCTTGTATTGGTTTTCTCTCTTTCATTGTTTCACTGCTACTTGCATGTAAGACTTTGAGATCCTGCTTTCAGGGGAACTCAGGCTATGATAATTGGGATTGGAATTTTGTAGTGAGATCACTCTCTGTTCAGAGGTAATAAGGACTCCATTGTTGGAGGCAGGTGGAGTGGTGGTATATGGCCAGCACCATCTCAGTTACTAAGACTCTTACTTAGGTGGATTGGGATGAGGGGTGTAGGCAGAGGCAGAGCATTCGGTGGTGTGATAGTCGTGGTCCTTAAATAGTATGGGAACAATGGTAATAACAAGGATTGGGCAGGCTGGTGTGTTTAGACTGCTTTGAAGGCTTTGAAAAAAGCAAATGAAGAAAATGACAGGCTCAAGTTTGTTAATCAGCAGCATAAGGAATGTTATGAAAGCCAGAGGGTCTGTATGGAAGTGTATCCGGAGGCTCACATTGGTAGATTGTGCTGAAATTCTCATACTCAAGGTCATCCTCTAAGCAGGCAACCTAGATCTGGCAAGTTGTTGATAAAGGGTGAGAAAAGTCTAAAATGGATGGTGGAGGAGGGAGATGAAGAATATTATGATCTTGGGATCAGCTGGAACAGCAGCAATTGGAACTCTTTCTACTAACCCTCTTGAATTAAGTCTTTGCAGAGATTATGGCTGGCCACCAGCATGCAAGGGATTCTCTGATAGACTGAATTTAAAGAAGGGCACAAAAAACAAGCACAAGAAATGGTTGCACTTCCCTGTACACCACTCCGGATCTTCTTGCTCATGCCACTACTGAGGTTACCAGGTCTGTGCACGTGTCAATCAGCTTTTGCATGGGTGCAGCCTGACAGAGACTAGCCTTGTGCTGTGGCTTTCTCACTTCTCTGATGCTGGAGTGTCCTGACACCACGCCTTGGGAACCACTTTAATACTCAGCCACGTACAACTCAGAAGTATGAGGGAGTTTTTATCTGCGAGACCACCCTTGGCCATCAAGGGGGATGAGGAACGGATGAATAACTGCTCTCTTTTCCTCTTCTAGGTGGACAGTTTTGACTTGCAAAGTTTCTCGGAAATCCTGTGGGAGCCAGTCACCTATAACAGTGGCCAACTTGATAACGCATCCTCACTAATCCTTTCCCTCCTTCACTGTCCCCACCTCCATCCTATACTCCTGGTCCCCGAGATCACATTTACAAACAAACTACTGTGTTTAAGCTTTTGTCTCAGGTTCTGTTTTTAGGAGACTACAAACTAAGATAGATAGATAGAGAGAGAGAGAGAAAAGAAGAAGAAGAAGAAGAGGAAGAAGACAAGCTAAGCTAGGGTACAAAGCAAGGGAAGAAACTGTGATCTGCTATTAAACTGCAGGGATATTTTGGGACATCAGAGCTTAATTTAGTACTATGATATTTCTAATAATGAAGTGACACATTTAGGCCACATGCTTCCTTGTTAGAAACTCTATAACCAGAGAATATAGCAATTTTAGAGCTGGAAGGATCCTTGGATCTCATTTTTAGCCTATCTTTTATTTTAAAGAAAAGGAAGTTGGGGCTGTGAATATATTCCAGTACATTGGATAAAAGGGATTACACTATGTCAAATCATCCTTACAAACCAAGATAATGATGAATATTCCCCAAAGTATAAAATTATATATCTAAGAGTTTAGAAGACAGAGGAATAGGCAAAGCAGGGTTAGGATAAAGTTGAGTGAAGGTTGACTTGTGCTCAAAAAGTACAAGGGCTGGGGTATTTTAGAGAGACCAAAAACCTTCCCAGGAGATAGATTTGTTAAATTTTGGCCATGAAAGAAGAGAAATAACACATTCTGCGTGCCAAGCATTTGACGTACTTAGCCATGTGAGATGGGCATTATTACCTTAATTTCTATGTCAGGAGGTTGAGGCTCAGAGGTTAAATAACTTTCTAAGATAACTTTCAAGTGCTTTTGGTTGTATTCTTTCCCTCCCACCTCACCATATTTCTTCTGCTAAAGAGGAGACACAGTTTCCTCCATCCCCAGCAGTTCCAGAGTTTATAGGCTGCCTTGCCAGGGCTGTAAAAAGAGTCCATTAAGAGTAGGAAGCAATCATGGATCATTCCTTCTGGTCCCTCCATCCCAAACCTCCGATAAAAAGAATAACTCAATTTTACCTTGAAGGCTAATTTAACATACCTAGTTTCTACCTTTACCATTTCACTTCTCAGCTAAAAATTTTTACCAGAACGCTGGTTATAACTTGAAAACAATTTCATTAAAAAAAGAAGACAGTTCCTACCAAAAGGAGAGTAAAAAAGAATATTTTTATGCAGGCGAGATGGTTATATGAATTAGAGTTAATGAAAATATTATTTGCCAATCATATCAAATTTTAAAAATCACATTCTTAGTGCTTTTGATAGAAATTTATTCATTTGTTCAATATGCTTTTTATTTGAGTGTGTAGAGCTGCATTGTTCAGTGCAGTAGGAAGTAGCTACATATGGCTATTTAAATTTAAATTAATTAAAATTAACTTAAAATTTAAAATTTAGCTTCTTAGTCATACTAGACTCATTTTAAGTGCCCAAATAGCCACCACACATGGCTAGTAGCTCTCATATTGGACAAAGTGGATATAGAACATTTCCATCTTCACAGAAAGTGTTAATGAACAGTTCTGGCTATGCTGGACACATTGTTAAGTTGTGAGGATACAGCAAATGAATAGTTATGATCTCTACTTCATGAGTTACATTTTAGGGGGAAGATAGAGAGACAAAAATATGCAAATAAATAAAATAACAGATGGTAATTTAGTCTTATAATGAAAATATATAGTATGCTGGGTAGAGAGCATTAGAAGGCAACTACTTCATATCCTGAGGTCACCTGAGGGATGTGAAGAGGCCACTGGGAAGAGCTTTCAAGGCAGAAGGAATAGCAGGTGCAAAAGTCTTAAGAACTTACTGTGTTTCAGGGAAGGGGAGAGAACGCGGGTTTTTGACATCTTGGGGAGAATACTGGCCATCAAAGGAAGGAAACCATACAAAAAGGTTGTGAAAAATAGCTTCAAAACAATATTTCGGAACAATAGTTCTTAAGATGAGTGTGCATTAAAATCACCTGGAGGCCTTCCTATACCAGGTTTCTGAGCCTCACTTCAGAGTTTCTCATTTGGTGAGTCTGGGTGGAGCCTTAAAATATGCATTTCTAACATGCTCACAGGTGATGCTGATGCTGATTCTGCTCATCTGAGGACCACACTTTGAGAACCAGTGTCTACCAGAGTTAGTAGACGAAGAAAGGAAAGCTTGGAAAGATGACCTCACTAACCCTACTGCCACAGCTAGTTAGTCAAAGAGACAGAAAAGGCACAGGTGGGAAGAGAGAAGGCATGGCAGTAGAAAGCATGAGATCGTTTTCAAGCTCATATCTTGTTCACTGGGAGGAGACACGTGGAAGGTGTGCACGGAGGCAATTCTGATGTGGTACTAGTGGTAGGCATGTAGCTCACCTTCGTGTGATTTGTTAGGATCTGTGTTTCTTTATATATATCTCATTTCAAAGGATTTATTAATCAAGAGTATGCTGGATATAGAAGCAAGTATATGCTTGACTCAGCTGACTTGAGCCCTCTGCACATTTTAAAAACCTAAGAGTGTTTAGAACTCACCCACCCAGGCCCCACCCCTCGAGGTTCTGCTTTCATTGTTCTGTGTTAGGCACCATATAACAGTATCTAGATCCCATTGCAGGGGCGATCAGCTAACCTCTGCATGACAAGTGAGAGACTGTGCCTGGCCTGAATTAGAGAAAGTCTCCCTGCTAAGCTCCTAGGCCTCTGGACAGGTCATTCTCACAGTGGCCCTGGTTATTCTGTCTCAGGAGAAGTGAGACCCAGTACACGGCCCTGACAATGGATCCTATTTGCCTAAA